CTGCCTTTCTTTGTGTGTACAAAGCTTAGCAGATAAGCTTTTGATAACCAGAGAGTCCCCTGCGTCTCATAATCACTGTGGAGAATGTGCACAGAGAAGAGGAAAGTCAGGGCTGTTTCTACATGGCACCTTCTGCTGACAAGAGACTTTCTCCATTTTTTGAATGGAAAAAAATAAATCCATGTTTTGGCCAGCATCCTCTGCTTTTGTTAGTCATCAGTGTCTGCCACCAGATGGGAGGAGTTCAGAAAATAAACCCAACGTGGGGTACGCTGTCATGGTTCTTAACTCCAGACTGCGGAGTGGAGCCCCACGGCCCGCGGCAGGACCATCCCCTCGGACATAAAGGGCAATGATGCTTTGAAATACACAGTTTCTTTTACCTGATACTCATCTCTTTTTTTTTTTTCAAACAACATGCATCACAGTTGTCTTTTTTGCTTTTATCAGTTACTTACAATGTCAATGACCATCTTCCTTAATGATTGTCTTTGCTTTTTGGTCAAATTCTGGAAAATGTCACAGTTTTCTTCCTGAAGCAACTTAAAGCCCACGGCCAAATGATGGTTCTCCAGGACTGAAGAATCATTGTACATCAAGGCAAGTTCAGAGTCTTGAAAGAAAGGCAAGAGACAGAAGGTTAGCAAAGCCATTTATTCTCAGTTTATCTTATTGTTCATATTCTGAGACAGCTGGGTATTAGGAAGCAATTTCCCCTAAACACCTCTGCTGATGTTCCCATCATGCTATGATGACACCACCTGAGGGAGCAGACTTGTTAATATAATCAGGGATAGAGCCTGCAGTCTTGGGAGTGTCTGATGCTCCTGACTCGTGGCAAGTCAGTTCCCTCTGCGGCTTCAAAGACAAGTTAAACCAGATTATCTTGACCCTCCTTTCCCAATCTGCCACAGGGAACAACAGACACTCAGCAGAGTAAGACATTATTACTCCTACCGTTTGCAACCTGTCCAGAGCATAAGGTGCCGTATTCCTGAGAACTGCGTGCCACCCACCCAACATTTTATTTATAATGTAAGGATCGTGTGATTCAGGATTATTTGTACTCAGGGTACAGGGACATTTAGGAACACACGAACAGTATCAGATGTGTTCACACTCTCACCTATTTTCTTTCATAGGATAGCTTTGAAAGTCAAAGCATTATTCATTCGTCTACTTCCTTTTCCAAGTATTGTGTAAGGCACAATATACAAGCATCTTGCCCGCCACCTGGGTGCTCACGGCTTCACACAGAGACGGGCGTTTAGCTGCCCACATAACTCCATGGTGAACGTTCCGCTGCTCCCTCACGACTGTCCTGGACCTGTGTTTGGGCAGCAAGAGATCCCACCTCTTTCCTAGTTTCTGTAAACAGCAGACTCGGATCTATAAAGTAGTCATTAAAAAAAAAAATCGACTGGTGCTTTACTCTGTTTCCACTGAAGTCACCGTAAAGGCTAAAAGCATATGCATTTGATCTTTTTTCTGACTCACATGTGGAAAACATATATTCTTTTCAAAGAAATAAATAACTAGTAGTAATCAATGACTATTTTAAAGAAGTTAGGGAGAAGAGAGGTTCAAGATATTTCTACTGTGAAATCCTATGATTTTAGGTTTATACTGAAAAAAATAACATAACCCACAGTATAGCTATAGAGAGCTTACTTTAAAATGAGATTGGTGAAACAAAGTGTGTGTACGGGTGGCTAGTCCAGCTTCACCTTAATACAGTGGAATGTCTCTGCTCTTAGACATCAAAAGTCATATACTTTGAACACATAACTATTGTGGGTACATCTTTTACCCCAAAACCTAGGCATCTTTGCTATAAACAAAAAGATTCATTTTCCAGGTAAAACTTAATGCTATATATATTCTGAAAATATATTATTTCAGAAAATAAAACTGTGACATGAAATGCTTTTTTTAATGATAAAGACTCTCCAGCATGTTCAAGGCTTTGTGATGCTATTTACATTTCAAGGATTTATTTACATGTACTGTCCTTGAGAAAGACTTACGCAGCTTCCCACTTGGACTTGCGACTTCTTTAAATCCTATTCAGATTCCCCTAGACCCCTCATTTATATGCGCTTAACTGACTCTGCCAGGTAGAACTGATCACTCTGTTTTCAAAACCTGCAGCATGTTTACAGTGAGTGTGTATGTCAATAGCATCAAATCATTTGGCGCCTAAAACTAACACAAGGGGAATGATTCATGGAAACGACCATCGCAACTAAGAAGCAGACATGTGTCAGGCCTGGGAATCAGCCAGGTGAGCCCAGTGGCCCTCCACCAGAGTGAGTTGTGCAGCATCCTTAAAATAGGACAGGGGACCTCCCAACCACAGGCTTACGAATCTCTGATGATTACAAGTCTTTATTACAAGAAGACCGATTCAACCTTTGGCTTTGGACAAGCCGGCAGCACTGAGCTGAGAGTGTGCTAGTCCAAGCCACTAACGCTCAATCGGCACACAAAAGAAAGAAGAAACACAAACTTAATATCTATAAAAAGAGAGTTTACTGTAAACTAAAGAAAATCACACAATTTTGACAGAGCTTTTCATAAAGCTACAAGTCTGCAACTCGTACTACAAGTCTGCAAGTTATTACAAGTTTGCCAGTTACCTTTTGTAGCATGCTGTGAAGTTAAAACTTACTTGTGTTACTGGCTACTAAGCCTCTTCTGAGTCCTAAAATAAGATGCGTGCTGGCTTGGTCCCTAGACAAAAGCTTCCCGAGGCAGAAATTCTCATAGTGCCCTGGGGCTCTCATCAAGCCTAGGACAATGTTCATCTACCAGGCGATGATGCTGACTCATTCTCTCAGGGATGACACAGCCTCATCACATCTCACCCTCAAGAAAACATGAGCAATCCAAACCTGCTCTGCGACGTGTTAACCGCCCCATGTTTCTGAGGTCCCACAGAGCAGAGATCTGCACAATGTCACTGAGTAACAGAATACTTCCAGAAGCAGACTTAGTATCCTTCCACCTTAGGCAGGTCATTAGCAAAATGACCTTAAACAGACACCCCTGGCCACTGTCCTGTATGTATGATTATCCCCTACAGTTCTCCATTATCTATCTCAGTGTCTCTCAAACGTTAAACGGCATCAGATTTATCTGTGGACTGAAAGTGCAGACTCCACAGGTACCCAGATGCCAATCTAAGCCCATGTGCCCTTAGAAGGTCCACAAGAAAGAATATGAGAGTTGGCTTCATTTTTCTTAAAAAATTTATCAGAGTACCTGGAAGACAGTGACGTTACTATCAATTGTTTTAATTTGTTCTCTAATCTATTGTTAATTCTCATATTATAATAAGGGAACATACAATATTGTATAAATATAATAGGATGTAAAGAAAACACACAAGTCTGAGTTTTGGTGTGATTAATTTTAAAAAGAGCACACCCTGCTTAATGGCAGAAATTGAAACAAAATGTGTATGTATTTGTTAAAAATCTATAAAATTAAGAACATAGCAAGACATACATAAAATTAAAAAAAAAGGATCAGGCTAGGATAATGAGAAATTGACAGTGTACATTTTACTGTACGATCTCCCTGCTCATCACAGAAAGGACCCAGTTGACCCTAACTGACGACACAACAGAAATTCATGCAGCTGCATCTAACGTGTATTAATATTTATGTGTCAATATATAGTAACGTTTCGGTGACTCCTGAAAGCGCTCCATTATAGGTTCTCATAAAGTAACTGAAACAGAAAATGTTACCCTGTGTAATTGTAGATAAATAAGTTCGTAAACCAAACTTCTAAAATATAGTGACTAGCCACACATTTTCAAAAATCCATGACTTTCCCAACCCTCCTATACCTGAGTGAGTCACTGAAGTGCATTTTGTTATACAGTAGTCCAGAGGCTATGAAAAGATTTAAAAATAGATAAATAATCCAAAAGACCTGAGTAAAATCTCTCAAAGCAAGGCTATATTTAAATGCTCCCTTTAACTCCTGAGCTGCAGCCACGGGTTGGAAGTGGATGGTAAAGGCACAGACACTCCTGGCGCTAGGCTGATGTGGGCCAGGAGAAGGCTGTTATCCACAACTCAGGGCACAAAGGGAAAGGCAGAGCTGAACAGATAGGGCAAAAAATTCACAATGTTGCACTTTATGTTTTCATATATAAAAGTGACTTTATAACATTAATGAACCATGATGGGGGGTGGAATTCCACATTTAATTTACTCACCAATTAACTTCAAGTACAGAAAGAATAGAATTTCTGTAAAACTAAACCTGTTTGCAAAAGCACAGCTCTGAGCACCACTAACCCTCCCTGCGGAGGCTCTCTGTGCAGCTGTGCGTCAGAGCAGGTGGCCCGCACTCAACAGTCTCTACTAGCCCTTATATTTCTGAATTCAGTGATGACTTACTTTCTGAAATGTCATCAGTGAGGGAAAAATTGATGGGTAAAAAATACTAAATAAAAAGAGATAGTAAGTCAAAAGAGAAGTTCCCGATGCCCTTAGTAGGAGATTTCAAAAGGATAGGAGAGGGCTGGGCGTGCTGATGGAAGGGAAAGAGGAATCATGACCTGTGAAGAGCCTACATAAATGAGGGATATAACATTAATTCTGGTAACTTCTTGTATTTAAAACTTTAGGGGCAACATCACTATCTAAATCTTTCTTCAAGCCTTCACTTTCAACTGCCCTTGTCCACTAACATGGTCATATATTATTTCTAAAACATGCTGGAATACATGTTTTTCAAACATCTTATGCCTGATGGGACAGAACAATAATTTTTAGGGCTACATCACATTAACAGATACTATCGCTGAAACACCTATTTACACATCTCGAAAGAACATTATGTCTCTGGAAACATCCCAAGTTGATAAAGACCCTCAGTCATTCTAAAATGTACCAAGGGAAATTTTTTCTGCAAAAATAAATGAACTTCACTTACTTGTATTAATCAGAAACTGATTGGACACACCAGGATGATCGACATCATGTATTGCGCTGGCAAAAATTGCTGCAAGAATCTCCAAATCTGTAAACACAGCCTGAAAAATCAGACAGCATAATATTACGGGTCTATGATAATATGGATGAAAGGTATATACAAATGGGAAATTACTCCCTAGAGTCTGGAAAACAAAGTGAAGCTTCAAAATATATTCTCATAACATGTCAGGAAGGGAGTCTTTTAGATAATGAGTTACTCACGGACTTTTTAAGTATAGTCTTGGAGGAAATATTTTATCTGATTTTATTTTAGCTCATGATCAAACCTTTTCCATGGCTTAGATTTTTTTCTAAAACATTACAAAAAGAGTGTCTGCAATTTTTTACAGAAAATAATAACTTATTTTAAAAGTATCTTAAAAGTATTTAAGATGTTTAAGGATATTCCGAAATCCTTTTTTTTTTTTTTAAAGTGTACTTTTTAAGCGTACATAAAAGTAATGGCATGAGCAAATCTCTTCTTTCATTCAGATCAGGGAATCTCAACTTCAGCAAAACTGACATTTGGGGCCAGATAATTCTTTGTTGTGGGAGGCTAGCCTGTGTATTATAGGATTTTTAGCAGGATCCCTGGCCTCTACCCATGAGATGCCAGTAGCATGTACTCCCCTGTTGTGACAGCCAAAAATGTCCCCACGTATTTCCAAATGTCCCAGGGGGAAGGGAGGAGCAGGAGTGAAAGAGGAAAATCACCCTGAGTTGAGAACCTCTCACTCAATTGATGCGGTATTAACACAATTTTATAACGAAACAATCTGAAGTATAAAATATATTAGCAAAAAAGAATTGTTCCCCCAAATGCTTAAGGACATCAAATGGCTTTAATAAACATTTAATGAAACAACCTCATAGGATTTGGTACCATTAAAGATAATAAAAATCTATGAAAAATATCAATGCATTGCTTCTATTTTATAAAATAATCATCTTTGAATGATAAATGAGAAAGTCATCAAACTAAATTAAAAAAACAAAACACAAACCCAAACTAACCCAAACTGAGTAAGCCAGATATGCTTTATGGGATGTCTACTAGATGATTTCAGAGAAGGCGTATCACAGATGAATCCCTACATCCCTAGCCAATTATCACAGACCAAACTCATCAAAGACACGACTGTTTACTTTCCACAATGACATTTTCCCCCTCTAACTCAATATATTTCCAATGAAGCCAATTATTGTTTGCCCTGTGCACCCTTCAGTATAAACGCTGAAGAAACCGTTATGAGTGGCAAGTTAGTGTTCTCAAAGGTTAGAGACCAGCTTTACCTCCAGAGCAGGTGTGGATAACAGCACGTGTGTGGACTGGACAACGTCTGCAGCATGAATGTTATTGTGATAGGCCACGTCAGCATGGTAATGATCTTCCAGGGTCATAAGGTATGTAATTAAAGTGTCTACTGGAATTTTAAATGTTTTCAATAAATCCCGTTCCTGCAGGAAAAGAAATCCTCCTTTTAACATTTTGTCCTTATGTGAAAGATTTCCCGTCCAGTGTGTTAACAACAAGAACACCATACCCAGTGTTGCCCATGAATAACCCAAAATGGAAACAGCACTCTCTCAATGTCTAGTGAGGACAATGAAAACCTTTGGGGCCATCCAGGGACTTCAGGGACAAAACCAGTGTTGAGCTGTCCTTCTGGAGTCCAGCAACGCTTTACCCAAGTTGTAGAGAGTCTGGAAGGAGCTGCCAACTATTAGAATGTCTGTGTCCGGTGATCATGAAGGCAGCTCAAGTCCAGCACCACCGACTCAACCACTGGATCAAAGCACGGGAGACACAACATCCTCTCTAGGGCTACAGCTGCCCCTCCAGCCCCAGAGTATCTCCAGCCTCCACCTCTCACACAGAGCCTAACCCCGTGCTGGGGCAAAACCTCGACATGAGTGAGAAACCTATCGGAAGAAGAGAGCGGTACACAAGACGGTGACTGAAGAAATTACATTCTAAGGTTAGTCAGCAAGGGGCTGATTGAATTCTTAAAGTGAGCACTCCCTTCTTTATAAAGGTCAGGGTCATGTGGGTGATTTTTAAACTATTACTTTAATGCGTTGCTTCATTCTGCCCCCATCATATCTTAGTCTTAAATGGAAAAAAAAAAAACCCACAGTTGTTTTGTTTGTGTTTTACCCCGACTCCAACTTTTCTGTATCCTTCCTTCCCCTTGGTAAAGGGGCAAATGAGAAAAAAGTATCAAAATAAGTAAAAGAGGGTGAGTAGTGAAGAAGATAAAATATATGCACATGTGGACATTATGTCACCAAATAAAAGAGAGGTGACAGAACTTAACAGCATTACCTGAAAAATGGTGTGCATGATAACAGTCAGAGGCCGGTTACCGGACAACTCCGCTATTCTGAAAACGTGAAGACCCCATTTGTTCACATCTTCTAGTTCCTGGGGTTAAGGGAAGACAGAACAAATTTGAATGCAGAAGTAGAATATGAAACCATGAACACAGTCATTTAAAAATTACTGACTTTACTGAAAAGACTGTTAGGTTTTTAAAATATGATTCATTTTAAATGTACAGATATATCATGTAAGTACAAACTTTAGGAAATTCATTTAAACATACTAAAAACTGAATGGTGTGCTTAGATTTACGCCTCTGACAATACAACATATTTACAGCCTTGAAATACCGATCTCGAGGTATCTCTTCAAAAGTTAAAACCTATTCTCAAAAATCTTAACTATTCTCCTGAAAGATTTCTAACCGTTTAAGGTCAATCAAATTTAGATGTAAAATAAAGAATGCCAAACCACCTGTCTAAATCCACATAGTAATAAATCTCAAGGGATTTAGAAAGAGCCTTATAAAGTGCTTTCCCATCTTCTAAGGTGGGGGAGACTACAAGTTAATGAACTTTCCCATCTATTTAAAAGAGAAAGAATCAAAGTTCACTGCATACTTCTGATCATGATGCTTGAAATCATCTTACCTTGGCAAGGACGTCTTCTTGCTCAGTTTTGACCCCAAACCTCGGGATGCTGGAATTAGTCAGACTGGAGCTGTGCATCAACTTCTTGACCCCGCTGATCTGAGACATTGGCCTTTTCTTTTTCTCCTTTTCCTTCTGAGTCGGAGAAGGAATTTCCACTTCATGTTGCTTATCTTAAAAATTTAGAAAATGTTCTACATTAACTATTAATTCTACCTGTTTTTTTAAATCATAACATGCATAACTGGACAAGTTTTAATTGATCATTACAATTCTAGGAAATATTTCCAAGTAAAACTCCTTTTAGAGAAGTTGAGTATTTACGATTTGATGTGGACTTAATTTGATAGTCTCAAACACAAAATTAAGCAAATAAGTAATTAACATCAAATATATTCAGTGGTTGCATCTTTGAATGTCTCAAGACAATTTTCTTGAAAAACTTATGATGGCAGACTTGGAAGAGACAAAACACATTGGTTATTTCCATTGTTCACCAACTCCACTGCTATCTGAAAACCACTTACAGTGGCAGGAAAACTGCTCCTGCCAAGTAAGAACTCCAGTTTCAATACCTACTTTGAAATGGTAGAAACTTCACGCACAAATATAAAAACAGCAGTGTGTGAACCTCACAGCTTACTGAAATGGGTCCTACGGGGCGAGCAGACAAGGCATGCCTGAATGCCTACGGTTGCTCCTGCAAGTTTACATTTTCTATACGATACTGAGATAGGGGTAAGGTGTAACAAGCATCTCCAATGTTATCAGATAAATGAATATCAGACTCACAAAAGCTAATTGCTGTTTTCAAAGACACAGGATGTCCCAGGATGCTCATCCACTACTTCAAGGCAGCGAGCTCCTCTAACTCACCCTTGCACATAGTGTGGGTTCAATAAATGTCTGCTTAGTGAATGTGCTAATCAGATATTACTGCAGGTTTGTTTTGCAAGTAAATTCAGATCAAGGATATGTTCAAGTTACTGGCTTTTGCTTACTGAATTTTCTTTCCGTGGATGGAGGGTGGGGTGGGCGTGTCCCAGTGCACTCTACTCTCAGCCAGCTCTCTTTTAGCTTGTGTTGTATCTACCTGCCTCTCCAGTTATCACACATGGTGTCCATTAGACTATCAACTCGCTGAGTTTAGGGACCATTTCTAACCAAACATTAAATACCAAGTGCCTAGCAACGGCTGGACCTTAACAAGCATTTGTTGGATGCATGAACAGATCTCTCTATAAAGTATACTTTACAGTTGAGTACTTTGGAAAAATGGGCAATACACAACTTTAATTCAGAGAATCCTTAAAGTTCTGAATAAAAGTAAAAGACAAAAACTGTACAGTGTCACCTAAGGTTCTAAAGCTTAGAGGCTCAAATTATTAATACAATGAATGAAGACAAATAGAATTCTTTATTCTTGTTTGATTTCCAAAATGAGTTTGCATCTCAATCCACCTCCAAATACAAACAACTCAAAATTTAAAAAA